ATCTGAGAAATGGGGATGTAAAAAGTAATGGGACTGTTGAGAGGACAAGATGGAATTATGGCCTCAGTTTCCCCATCTGTGAAAAATGGGGATGTGAAAATATGACTGTTGTTAGGTTAAGATGGAATTATACAAATAAAACACTTGCCTCCTATCAATAAGTAAAAAAGAACTGCCCCATGCCTACCTTCTGAGGGCAACCAAATTTTTAGGAAAAGAAAGGTTCTTTTTCTACAACTTGACCACCATGAGCCCAGTCACACGTGACATAGGACAGGCATCAAAAGAAAAATAACTTCTAAAAAGCATGTGAATGGCAATTTCCAAATACTAGTCCTCAAGTGTCCCCCTGCCTAGCATACCCAAGAGATATCCCTGCGTTATCCTGGCATGCTTCTGTCTCCTGGATCTCGTCCTGGTGTCTCTGCTTTTGCAAATCTTTTACTCCAAATAAGACAAAGTTGCTATGCTTCAGGGAAAAGATGTTTCTGCTGCTGACAAGGAAGAGATGTAGCTCCCCAGGAAAGGGAAGGAAGGAGAGGAGAGGCAAGATAATGAACAGAAAACAAAAGGAGAACTTTGCTGGGTGTCATTTCAGGCTCTTCTGAAAAAACAAATCATGAAGCCCAGGGTAAGCCGGTTGGCCAGATAATGCCTGTAAGCTGGGGAAATGAAGTGAGAATCAAAGGAAAGGGAACAGACAAAATTAGAGCAAATCCAAGATAAGCGTTATAGCACCCCCTGACTACCTGTTTTCCCAAAAGAGGATGGAACTCAAATCCAAGTACAAAGCCCAAATGATTCTGGGAAAAGTCCCCTCAGGTTATTTCATGCAGAAATGCTACTGTTTCCACCAGCCAGGAGACAGACATTGGAAGGTGTCAATAAGACCATCTTTGAGTCATTACAAAGGGAATGGAGGCAAAAGGGAAACAAAATTACACACTGAGACCCAGGCAGGGTATGGGGCAGAGGGAGGGAGGGCCACAGCACCAGAAGGGGTATGTGGACCTGGGGCGAGCACCCCACTTGTCAAGTTACAGGGTGCAGGAGCAAGGGCCTTGTGCAGCACCCCCACTCCAAGCTGCTCCCTTCTAAGGCCTGCTCTGGGAGCAGGGCATAAGGTTTGCTTGTTTTAGTGTGACCCACTGCCCCTATGTTTGCAGAGGAGGATGAGAGCACTTTCTTCCACGCATGGTCCCTGCTTCTTCCCTTTGCCTCCCCTGGGCAACACCCCTTTCTAGGAATGTTCCTTCTTCAACTTCCTCATCAATGTCCTCCTCTGCTAATTATTCTCTGCTTTCCTGCCACCAGAATCACCACTCTCCAGGCTTCCTGTGTATTCCCATCACTCTCCTCTTCCAGTCCCACCAGCCTTGCACCCTCCACCCATTTGCTTGCCTCTCAGCCCAGATCTCTGGTGACAACCAGCCTTGTCCCGGTTGGCTGCTCAGCAAGCCCCCTCTCTTCACCCGTGGCGTCAAGGGAGAGGACTTCTCTGGCCGGCATTTGCCAGCACCAGGGAGGTCTATGTGACCAGGAAGGGCTTCCCATACCCACCCCAGCCCGCCAGTCCACAGCGGAGGGATGCTCAGACTGACCATTCCCTCCAGCTGGGAGGCCACAGAACAGACCTGACTGCCTGGGATCACCCACCTCCCTCTCTCATCCCACTGCGCATGGCTCAGGAAGACCTGCCTAAATACCAGCAGTCTGAAATCCACGAGAGGACCCAGTGGGCTCAGGTCATGGAAGCAGAGGACTGCTTCTCAAACATCCATGTGTAAACAAAGCCATGATGCAGGTAACAGCCCTCCCACCTCCACAGGCTCAACAGTCCAGGGGGGGAGGGGGGCCTTGGAAGCGGCATTTCTAACAAGTCTGATGGGGATTCTCATAAAGAAGGGACCCAAGGACTATGGTACTGAGGGAAAACACCACATAAATAATGGTGTGAATAACTGATGCACTTCCAGCGGCAGTCGGAACACAGAGATGTCCAAGAGAAGTCACCATCCAAAGACAGTGTCAGCAGATAAGGCTTCCCCAACTAAACTTTGCTCTCGCTCTGCATTTACATGTGCTTCCACCGCATTTTACACCCCTCTGAACATCAGTCAGAGTACAGAACAGACCTCGACAGTTCACAACTCTGCTTCCCATTGTCTGTAGTAACCAAAGGCACTCAACAAACTGGCTGGACATAAAATTAAAAATCCTTTCCCGGGTTTCTCTGGCCAGTCCTGATGCCAGCCCCCTGAGATCCTGGGCTTCAAGCACACACCTTGCCCCCACAAACAGGTTATGGCCTGGCTGCGGTCTCAGGCTGCCCCGTGACCCTGTCGTACCCTATCACCACCACCATGTTCCTTCAAGGGTAGCATCCACCCCCTATCTGACCACATTCTCCCTGGTCCTCACTCATGCCCTCCTCTGGGAGGCCTCTCCTGACCTGCATCCTGCACCCCTAGGCTAGGAGCCCTGCCCAGGTCCCCCGCCCATGGACACATCCTGCAGTACAATCAGTCCCCACAGTAAGCTCCAGGTAAGACCCAGCCTCCTCCCTTTTCTATCCCAGGGTCTGGCTAGGGCCTGGCATGGTGAGGAGCAGATCAGGGCATTAGTTTGAGTTAATGGACAGGAGTTTTAAGGCAGCTACACAGAGCTTGGAATGCAATGGGTGCTTAAGTCACTCACCATTCTCAGAGGAGAGGGGAGGGCTCAGAAATCCACATCATTCACAGCTCAATCCTGAAAACATCAATCTCAGACTTTCGGGACCTCAAAGAGTTTGACCTGTCTTCTGAGCAAGGATGACTGGACAGTCCTCTCCACAAACAGCTACCACCCCTCTCACACCTACATATAAGCACCTGGGGGACCTTCCTAAGAAGGCCCCTTCTCTCCCCAGGAAAGCATTCAAGGAATTCAACTTGGGAGCTAGGAGATATTTAGGAACTTCTGCTGAAAGTACACCGTTATCCCTGAGGACCTGCTCCCTAGGGTTGTACTGATTATTTAAGAATCCCAGTCTGGTCAGGATAAAGGTAAGAACATGGTCAGGTGTGGTCCAAGGGGAAGATGAATGTTTCAAAATCCCGTGAAGCCTTTTGAGGTCGAGTGAACTGCTTTTGGGTCCCACTCTATTTTCTCACCTGGATGTTGGGGGTGATGGTTGTTTAAAGGGTCAATTGACTTAATGGGCTAAAAACACTTTGTCCATTAAAAATATACTATATTTCCTGAGACCCAAGTATTTCTGAAAAGGAGGCTACAGGAGCTACTGGCTCAGTAATAACAGGAAGTGGTATGTGTGTAAAGACTTAAACCTGCCAGAGTCCCACCGGAGTTACGTCATACAGAAGCCAGAGGTACGGTTTCCCAGAGTCCTCATGCTAGGGACAGAGGACATTTGTAAAATAGGTGCCTCCTCCCTTCTTGGCCTCCAGCTTCTTGCAAACAGGAGCCAGGAAATCCCACAGCCCTGTCCACCAACATCATGCTTGCTGACTGGACAGTGGGCGCCCCTTGAGAGCAAGAGGGCAGCATTACTCAAAGTATGAGCCATTATATAAGTAAGCATCACCTCTGTGCTAATTAAATACTCAGATTCCTAGGTCCAATCCCAGATGAGCTTGGTCAGAAACACGGGCAATGGAACCTGAGAGTTGTTATTTTTAACAAGCTCCTAAAGTGAGTTTTATATAAATTTAAGGAGCTCAAGTACCAGAATGTTGGAAAAGCTGTAGAACTGAAAAGACCTGGGTCAAATTCCAATACCACTAAACAGCAGCTGGGTGGCCATGGGCAAGTTACTTAACCTCTCTGAACCTCAGTTTACTCATTTGTAATATAAGTATGAAGCACAACCAGTGTTGCTGGGAGAATCAGAAATAATACTCTGCATCTACATTATCCTAAGAGGTGGGAATAACCATGACCCTCGTCTTTCAGGGGAACAATCTGCCACTGTGAGCACAAAGGGTTTCCTAGAAGCCTCTCACATGTGATGGAAGCCAGACAAGACTAATGTCCTTCACTCAGAGGCCCACATCAGGCCTTTACACCAGGAGTCAAGCAAGGTGAACAGGAGAGAAAGATGGGCTGAGCTTTGGATGGAAGCCAAGCCCATCTGCCTTCCTGAAGCATTCCACCTTGAGGTGGGTTCAGCTACTAGACACAGCTCCAAGATTGCTCTGCAGCCCAGTGGCTCTTTTGGGGGTGGGGAGTCTAAAGGGAGAAGAGACAGCAGTCATCTCCAGCCTGAGGATCCGAAACTCTGGGAAGGTGCAGGGAGACAGAATGTGCGCAATGTAATGCCATTCACCAACCATGGGCAGGGCTCAAAAACCCCTCAAAGCTTCAGTCTTTCCATTTGGAAACTGGGGTTAATTTTTAGAAAACTAACATTAAATAGTCAACTATGGGATGGTGCCCAGGTTGGGTGGTCTGCTCACAGCTCACATCAACGGATGGATGCTGTTATTATTACCCCTGCTTTTTTATATGTCTGTGCTGGTCACACCAAAACTTGGTGGCAGTTTCACTGTTGTCCCAAGAAGAGAGGTTATCTGAGCTTGAGCTTTACGTACCTGTGTTGGTTGTTAAACGTGTTAAACGTGTTAAACAACCTGTCCTAGAGAGTCTGGCCGAAAACTGAAGCTAGGACTTCAAGCCAGAGCGCAGGGCATTGGATTTCCCTCCTTTTTACTTAAAAGGCGGGAGCGGCGAGGATGAGCACGCCCAGCGGCTGCTGGATTCCAGCCCTGGGATCATTCCGGTTTGGATCGGCGTCTGAGTGCCAATCAGGGGCAGGGTAGCCCCGCGCGCCCTGCATTTAGGTTTCCTGCTTTCTGCATCCCCGGGCGCAAAAAGGGCCGGGCCCTTAGACCCCCGTCGAGCCGCTTCTGGGCCACCCCGCCCGGTGCCACTCACACCGCGCCCAACACCAGGTTCCCGAAGCTGACCCTGCGCTCCACAGCCCGGAGGGCCCGGCTCACCTGCTGAAGACGAGGCAGCCCAGGTGGTTGATCTCGTGGTCCGAACGGTGGCGGCTGTAGTCCTCCCACAGGTCCTTGAAGGCCGTGACGGCCAGGATGAAGAGCACGGGCGCCAGCGCCAGGCCGGGCTGGAAGGCGTTCACTGCCGGCACGAAGTTGAGCAGCGCGATGAAGACAAAGTACACGTTGGCCAGGCGGTGGAACTGCTCGAATAGGTTCTTGGGCAGGAAGGACAGTAGAGTGTACTTGGTGGTCTTGAGCCGGTTGTCCGCCAGGTGCTGAGCGCCCCCGCGCCGCCGCCGCCGCGCACCCTTGGCCGCGCCGGCCGCTGGGTCCTCGACGCCCGGGGGCGGCAGCAGGTTGGAGCGCACCACGCGCGTCCTGCCGTCCCCGCGCCGCCGCCGCCGCCGCCGACGACGACCCGGGGACCCGGACTCCTCGGCCGCCGCCGGCTCCCGTTCCATGGCCGCGTGTCGCCGCGCCCGGCTCCTCCGCAGTTCGCGCCCGCCCGCGCCAGCCTCCTAGGTGATCATCGCCGGCGGCCCGGGCGCGGTGGCGCGGGCTCCCCGCCTGCGGGACGCAAGGAGACGGCGGTCAGCGCCCGCCCCGCCCCGCCCGCTGGTCCGCTGTCGGGGCAGGGAGCAGGCGGGGCGGGGCGGCGCGGCGCGCGCGGCACAGAACCCCCTTGTACTCGCGCCTGCCTGGCCGCTTCCGCCGCCGCAGCTCCTGGCCACGCCCCGCCCCGCGCCGCGCCCAGGCTGGGATACCGCGGATAGCGGGAAACAGATAGACCCGAGCTAGAAACTTTAGAGCAGTTTAGTTTCGTTTCCAGAAGCATCAGTTAGTCTCAGTGCAAATGCGCCCTACCACCGGTAGGAGAGAGGAAGCTGCAGAGTGTGAGAGAAAAGGCACCGCAGTCCCCTGGCAGCTGTCAGGCTCTTCCTGGGCCCTGGACAGGGAAACGGTCTGGGAACCCGGAGGAGCCTCCTGGAATCAGCTAGAATCAAAATCCAAATGAGCAATGACATACCAATGCTACGATTTTTAAATCTCATTTACCGAGAATATCTGCTTTTGGGGAGAGCCCAAGAAGTCGGGATTCTGCTGCCTCTACACCCTTCCCTATCCCTGCTCAACCTCCACCTACTTTCAGATTCACTTCTTGGGTAACTTGACTTTTCCCTTTCCCTGATCATCGCTGCTTTTCCTTACTTCCCTACACAGGCTTTTTTTTTTTTTTTGTAAGGAGGAATATTTCAGTGGCAAAGGCAGGCTTTGGTTTGAGGTATTCTTCCTTTCCTCTCTGGTAAACCCTCAGAGCCAAAATATCCCTGTGTGCTGCAGTTCTGAGGTGGCCTCGGAGAAGCTGTGACAGGAAACTGAAAATAGTTGTTGGGAGGGGAGGAGAAGACCAGAATTGCAGAAGTGTCTTTTGGGGCAAAGGGCTCCCCTCAGTATTCGTGGGGAATCAGAGAGGGGAGTGTGTGAACGATGGGGGTGGGAGAATATGCTGGGTATGGCAGAAGGTATTGAGGAGTCCCCATTTCTGCAGTTAACACTTTCCCCCAGATAGACCACAGCTGTGACAGTTTGGCCTTCTGCTTTGGAAGTACAGGGATAAGAAGCAGAGATTTCTTGGCAAGGAGACTCTGGCTGAGGTTTTGGGCGAGAAGAGCCCTTATGGGTACTGCCTGTCTTGATTCTGGGAGCTGTTGGCCTCCTAGAGGCCAGTACCTCCTTTCTCTTCTTGTATTGGGATACTCTATCATCTCCCAAGAGACCACCGTAGCAGCCTCTGCTGGCGCTGGGTTGTCCCTTCTGTGCATGCTACAAGTCACTTCCCTAGCTTTGCTCAAATTACTTATGTCTTCCTCCACGACACTCTCTCACCTCCTGTACCCTGGGGCTCACACCCCATCGAGCCAGGCCAGGGACTCACATCTCTACAGGGAGCCTTGCCACAGACCACAATATTTGTCAGAATCCAGCATAAGGAGGGTAAAGTGACAGATACTAAGAAAATATTGCATGCCATATATCAAGACTCGCCCCCCCCATGCCATTCCTAAGGGCAGAATATTAGTGTGTAGAGGCCCGGGTCAGAGAAAGATTTGGCTAAAGTACCTGTATTTTCAGGGAAAGAAATCATATCTCATGATGAACCAATGGCATCCCAAATTGAGTATTAACAGCAAATGAAGGACCACTGCTTCCCTGGTTTCCAATGACTAAAACCTTATGGACCCTCCTTTTCCTCCATCATCTAACCCAGTGAGGCCCCAGGGCCTACTGGCTCCATCCATTTCCATAGATGCCTCCATCCCTATAGGTATCCCCAGTGTGGCCCCAGAACTTCTGGGTGGGTCTCCCTGCCTCCCAGTCTCCTTGCTTCAACCAGACCACATGTTGCCAAAATGGTTCCTTGAACTATTGGACCCCTTCACTTCATTTCTTTACCCTCGAGCTTACCGGAGTCCTCTGTTGCTTATAGGGTCAAATGCTGACTCCTCAGGCAGAGGTCCCTTGAGGCCCTCAGGGGTACTGGCACCAACTTACTGATTTAACTCCACCCCTCCCTACTCCTGGACCAGCCCCAGGGCAAGAGGTCTCCTTACCCTTCTCAGAACAGGCCTTGTTCATGCCCATCTATATTCCGCTCTAAGGTTCCAAGATTCCATGAGTCACACTGCTCCCTAAGCCTGGAATCTTTCCCCACCTGCTCTTCACCAATCCAAATTCAATATTGTTGCTAAGGTCTCACTCACCTGGCCTCCCAGGAGGTTTCCACACTGTGTGATCCATTGAACATCGAGAAATTACTTCTGTTCCGATGTATATGCAGTGGTATGTAAACCTCCCTTAGATTGCTCTGCTGGGATTTTGAGCTTGGATGTCTTCTGCCAGTTAAACTCTCAGACTCAACCGCCTGGGCCAGGGCCAGGGCCAGGCTTGGATGAACTCTACGTTGGTGGTCTGGACCACTGAGCTCTGACCATGCCCTGGGCAAGTCACTTTAATTGTCCTCCTTCGTTAAATACTTATTCTTCACCCACTGTGTGCCGTGCACTGTTCTAGGTGCTGGGGACTGACTTGGAAGAATTGTTGATGACAACAGATAATTCTCATGGATCTAACATTCTAGTAGGAAGAGACTGTGATATTGTGATTTATAATAATAAATATATATTTGGTCTCCATCCCCATTTCTGGCATAGAGCTCCTAAACCCTTGGAATTCCTTAAGTGATGAGTGCTAAAGTTGTCCTGATATACGTAACAAACCATTTTTAACCACACCTGAGTTTATGAGGTGACTTTTAGAAAGCACTTTAGATGGGGGCTGGTTGCCAGGGGAACCAACCATGTAATCAGAAAGTTGGAACTTTCAGCCCCACTCCATTGACCTCCAGGGAGGAGAGAGGAGCTGGAGGTCAAATCAATTGCCAATGGCCAATGTTTTAATGTGTCTATGTAATGAAGCCTCCATAAAAACCCAAAAGGATGGTGTTTGGAGAGTTTCCAGGTTGTGAACAGTGGAGATTCAGAGAGAGTAGCACTCCCGGACAGGGTATGGAACCTCCATGCCCTTCCCCCATATTTGCCCTATGCATCTCTTCCATCTGACTGTTTCTGACTTATATCGTTTTATAATAAACTGGTAATCTGGTAAGTAAAATGTTTCTCTGAGTTCTGTGAGCTGCTCTAACAAATTAATTAAACCCAAGGAGAGGGTTGTTGGGGAGCATCTGATGTATAGCCAGCTGGTCAGAAGCACAGGTGATAACCTGAACTTGTGATTAGCATCTGAAGTGTGTGTGTATGTTGGGAGGCAGTCTTGCAGGACTGAGCCCTTAACCTGTGAGATCTGACACAGTCTCCAGGGAGTGTCAGAATTGGGTTGAATTATAGGATACCCAGCTGGTGTGAAAGAATTGCTTGGTAGTGTGGGGGGGAACCTCACAGACACACAGTGGAGTCAGCATCCCTTAACATTGGCAGCAACTAAACAAGACACTTCCAGAACACCTCTAAGTCCCTACTCTCTGTGTTCTCTGAAGGGTATTCCAACAAGAAGGACATAGGAAATGGAGGGGCACAGGGAACCCAGCAGGGAGGGGTGTGCCTGGGCTGCTGTAGCTAGGGCTTTCAGAGGGGGCCTACTGGAGCAACCTTCAACAAAGGCAAAGGAAACAAGCTGCAGAGATGTCTTGGGGAAGAACAAGCAAGTGTAGAAGAACGTGGGGTTCCAGGCCCAGGGAGATGGCCCAGCTGTCTTGAGCCAAGTGGGCAAGCAGAGATGTAGCCCAGAGTGGGCTCATGTAGGGCCTGAAGAATCACGGTAAGGATTTTGGCTTTTAGCTGAATGAGAAGGGAAGCCTTGGAGGGCTTTGAGCACAGGAGTTATGTGACTGAACTCAGGTTTTCAACGATAATCAGTTGCTGTGTGAATAGAATGCAGAGGAGCTGGGTCAGTAAGAAGGAGACAGTAAGAGGCCATTGTAATAATCCTGGAGAGAAAGATTAGTGGTTCCTATGGGAGTGGTCATGGTGCAGGGTGGGACGTGGCCTTATTAAAGCAGACATGATATGCCGTTGAACTGGATGTGGGGTATGAAAGAAGGAACAAAGTTGAGAAGGGCCCAAGCAATGGATAACTTGTGTTACTGAGGTCTGAAGACAATGGGAGGGTCAGGCCTGGGATGGTCTGGCAGGGGTGCACCCAGCCAAGGTCAGCTGGGAGGCCCAGCCAGAGATGTCAGTTGGGAGTCAAAGAGTGAGTCTGGGTGGAGGAGAGTGTGGCCAGGAATGGGAGGGAGGCAGAGGGCCCATTGTGCAGGGCCAGGCCTGCCTTTGGATGCGATAGGCCTCTGGATTTGCTCCAAGTGCAACAGGAAGCTGTGGACTGCCCTCAGCAGAGGCATGAGGTGAGAGGATCTTATTTTCCCTTTTAAAAGGTAGAAGATAGATTTGGAGCCCAGTGGGAGCAGGCAAGGCAATGAAGGAGGAGGTGACTTGGGCTCTAGGAAGTGACAGACAGAGTTGACTCCAGGTAGAGTCAACATGATAGGCCAACAGGTTGGATATTTAGACGAGGAAAAGAAGTGAATCAAGAATAAAACTCAAGAGTTTAGTCAATGACTTGGGGATGAAGGATTGTAGAATATTCCAGCTCCCAAATATGCCACTTTGGCATGTTGATTATTTTAAATTAAAGTGACTTGAGGCTCTGGGTGACTCAGTCAGTGAAGTGTCTGTCTTCAGCTCAGGTCATGATCTCAGGGTCCTGGGATCAAGCCCCACTTTAGGCTCCCTGCTCAGCAGTGGAGTCTACTTCTCCCTCTCCTTCTGCTGCTCCCCCTGCTTGTGCTCTCTCATGTACTCTCTCTCTGTCAAATAAATAAATAAAATCTTTTAAAAATAAAGTGACTTGAGAAACAGTGAGTGCAAGAGGGAAACACACTGACCCTCCTTTGTCCCTCCAAAGGCAGGAAACAAATCTCCTATGTGAAAGGTATCCTCACTGTGCCAGGAGGGTAGAAGGCAAACTTATCATCAGAGATTGGGATTTTAAGACCA